TAAAAATATCATACTTGTGAAACTGTAATACCAACTCGTGTAATACATTTAGAATTGTACCCTAACTTATTCGATATCTCCTATAGTGTTTTAATTATTACGAATTTGATCGCGGAATATAAGTCTTTGCGGGTAATAGCGAGGGAAAAATAAGAACACGGATCTGGAATAAACTATAAACTATAACCATATAAGCTACCTCATTTAAGGAAATTAACTTATTTTAACTTAACGAGTCTTTTAGAACTTTGAATTAGACTCATGATTTACTGCGGAATGACACGATCAACTTTGCAAATTATCAATAAAAACAAAAGTGTATAATAACATGCACAGTCATCAGCTTTACATCCCAGGACCAATTTAAGATTTGCTTGTTTTGTTGTAAAACATTTTTATTCACATTTCCATGTAATGGAAAAAAACAATGTTTATCTTATCTCTGTATACATAAAATGGACTGCGCAAAATTAAATCATGCATACGTAAACACGTTTTATCTATAAATAGCAAAGGTAAACCAAAAGGGGAACTAATAAATTTCATTCAAATTCGCCTGTGAAAAAAAAAACTTGAAATTATGCTCGTGCATGTCGTTAGTGCATACGGAAAACATGTGTATTAGTCTGAGTTGATTAAATTAACTCAATAATCAGTCAAGCTCATGACAATTAATTCATATAATGGTCTCATTGGCTTCCCGTGCATCAAAATAGTATCATCACAGAAATCGACTTGCATACATATTTAGTATCATCCAGTGAATTTCTGAAAATTTATAGGTCACCTTTTGGTTGAAAATAACATTTAAGGACATGATTGGTGGCATGTCCGGGGTCTGTACTCTCAGTGCCTGAAAGGGCGGATGGACCCTCATTAAGCCTAAAATACATATATACCCACATAAAAGGGAACTAAAAAGTAAATAACCAATGTTTTTCAATAGATTGAAAAACAGAAAATGGGTATAGGAATGTTTAGCATATGTATGTGACTGTTTTTTATTTACTTTACAATAATTGATTGTTTGTTTGTTTGTTTCGTTTTACGCCTTTTTCAACAGTATTTCAGTCATATAGGCGGGTAGTTTCCTAACCATCGTTCCTGGAGAGTTACACCAGCACTAGACTAGAATTATTGTAATACCCCCAAAATGAATCGTATTATCCCGCAGTAAATCATGCGTCTTTCTCAAAATCATATAAGTACCCACATAGCACTTATTACGAGAGGTGTACCGTAGCTCATATCTACCACGGTGCAATTTTCGTATTCTAGTTATCGCGAAGCACTATTCATTTTCAAGTTCCGGCGTTACTGAATATACACGGGGGTCAATGAAAGGGATACTTTACAGTTTTTTCTTAGTGCCAAACGTTGCTATTTTATGATAAATAAATTATGAATGATATTTGAAATGACACTGTTAAATCATTTGTTGTTTATATCTTATGAGACGTATTTTATTTCATTATTTTTGTTTATTTAGTAACAATTCCTGCCTGTTCTTTTGTAAGAATCACGTGACTTTCATGGTAGTGCTATGAAATCTCTTAATCACATTGCTGATTGCTCCGCACAGGCGCGGAGCTATTTGTGATTACTAGTTTCTCTGCCCATGGACCCGATTTTTATGAATTCATCCCTTCGATTTACAGCTGAAAATAAATCCGGAATCAACATTTCCTTTCGATTCTAATATATAGTCATATATTGGTTTCGCCTTCGGTGATTAGAAGCATGTCATATTAATGACTTGGAACGGGAACAAATGTCACGCTTCAACTGATGGGTAGGCAGTATAAAAGACAAAACAAAAAATAAACCAAACTTCACCAATGTCAAGCAGCTGTCATATCTTTGACTTGCACGAACATGATGTAAGTGAATTTCCTCATACTGTCTAAAATTCGGGTAACAGTCTTCTATTATATTGATAAATAATGTTTCGCCATATAACGTGTAACAGTATAACAAAAAAAAGTCTAGTTTTTTTTTTAATTCATCCCAAAATTTTCATTCCAGTGTGTGTTCTACTTTCAGTATTTATCTGGAACTTGAAATATAACTACCGTATCTCAAGTCCCAGGTATTAATATAAACCATTTTCTTTTAATTTGACATGAAAAAATGCATGTAATATTACTATATTAGTCCCTTTTGTTACTATTTTTATTTACTGTTTGTATATTTATTACAATTATAGTAATAAAGAAACAGAATGTTCATTTTGACTACTTTTTTGTATGTTCCAAAGAAAATGCATTTAATATTCTTATCTCCAGCAAACCTACCAAAGTTCATGATGAACAATGTCTTTCGTCCGCCTGTTTATCTATAATATACAATTCTGGTAAAATCCAATAAACCATTGAAGAAATTATTAGAATATCTGGTCATCAGATGTCTACAAGTTCATCATCATTTGCTGCATTTCTTGCTCGGACGCTCTTTGATGCTTTGCATCATTGCTTTTCTTGCTATTTCATGATTTAGCATGTAAAGTACATATCTGTGCGAACATGTAAAGGACATTTTAAAAAATAAAGTCGATGAAAGTTTTTGTTTTGGCTTATTTTCGTATGGATTTTTATATTTTTTATTATGATTAGTTGTTGCTTTTGTAGACAATACGTAGCATTATAATTATGTGAAAAAGAAAATGTACATGCTTTGATATTTTTTATCATCTAATATTACTGACTACAGTAGAGACACAAACAGAATAATGTTGCACTACTGACATGTCACATTACATTAACAAGTCTTGTAAGTCTTGTTTATATTGGAATTACTTTCCTTACCAGGTAGGCATCAGTGTTCATGGACAGTGCATACGATAAGTATAATTATGCAAAAACTGATTTACAAACATTTGGAATAATGTACAATAGTACTTAATCTGAATAAAACATGCATGACCTGTGAGTTGGTGAGGTATCTGTAATGAGTGCATTTTTTGCGCAAAGCTTCTCATTTGCTACATTGCAGCAACATTTGTACTTGTAAGACATACAGGTAACTTATGAATGGTTAGCAAATGATATGGCGGCTGATAAAATGCAAATCATAGTAATTTTGTATTAATATCATAAAATTATTTTTAATTTTACAGTTTGATTGATTGACAAGCCCGTCACGGGACTATAGTGGGTTAACAAGCACAAACACTGCTGTTGTAAATACTACAATTTACTAGTATAGAAAATGAAGGAATATACTTCATCTTGACCACATTTATTACTAATAAGCTCAAAAAAAATCTATTTTCTGGTTGCAATTATCCATTAATAATTTTCATTGCAGTCGCGTATCTACTGATACGCCAAAATACGCCAATACACACGAGCGTATAAAAATAAAAACAAATAAAAAATGAAAGCAATAATTCGGGCAAAGATCGATCAACATATTCGTATCTGTTAATAGATTCTTTATGTATGCTATTCGAATATGTGTTACCTTTTTTGACAATCAATCAAAGGTTATGAGAGAAGGGTGTAAGCAGCATATGAGCAAATTAATTGCTTGTGTATATCAACGGAAAACCATTTCAGAGAAAATTGATCAACCGTTGTTTCAGTCTGGAATCCGTGTTATCAAAGTTTTTTTTTTAAAAAGGGATGGTTTATTCTAACCCTATGCGGATTTTATTATGACTCAGAAAACAAAATGTTCGGTCTTTCTACAGACCTCAGGAGTGACATACACAATGAAAAAAATATGATATAAATAATTTCTTTGGAAATTTCTCTTTTTGCAGATTGAGTTATTTGAATAACCAATGTTATAATGCTTATTAACCTTGCAAAAACCCAAATGATGATAGAAAATGTCCAATTTATTACAATCAATTTTCCTGCAGAATAAATATCAGTGAAAACTAAAAAAATGTTTCTCTTTTACATTTATATGCAAAATTAAATCTTGCCTGAAACTTGGCATTTGTAGCACAATAGAAGGGAGTTGACCATATGGAATTACTTTTTATAATTCACCTTTTAGTTATAAGTCAGTATATTATTTCTAATTTAGTAACATTCATTTATCTTATATTCATTCAAATTGTGTAGATATATATGAGCCCTATAAATCAGATCTTTGCAGCGAACTATTGCCCACATCTATCGTCACAAACCATACTCAACTTACGTTTATTTGACCATAAAAATATATCACTGTCTACTGTCCTATTTTATTGATTATAGAAATAAATTGCAAACCTTCTGAAAACAATGACATATATTCTTAATTATACCTAGTCTATCTATACATATAAAACATAGATAAATAAACAATGAGAACAATGCATACCTTTTTAAGAGATAATAAGACATGTCATGTCCCGATTCTTTTATTTTCACCGACTTCTAATGGCAAGTCTTATTATACCAATATTAATATACCAAACATGCTTTTATGTGCGTTAGGCATTCAACTTTGAACTAAACTAACATAAACATTTCGAATGAAAATTGAAATAAAAGAGTTGAAAAAACAACTTTTAAAGATAAAAAGATTTTTTAACATTATCATAATGCGCATTTAGAAATATTTTTAAAGGACCTAAATGATCACGCAATACTACATTTTAGATGTGAACACGATAACTTATTGTTACACTAAAACATTAAAGCTGCTGTGTCATACAGATCATTTAAAATAATATTTTCCTTGATTATATCTCATGTTACGTTATAGTGAAACAAAAGAAAAATAACGAGGAAAAAAGGAAATAAAACCCATCTTGATAACAATCTGATACACGGTAGTAAATAACTTTTGAAAATGAAAAAGTTGACTTTCGGTTCCTCAAGTTTCAAGTTTATTAAATATTTAAACTCGAATAACAAGTATCTTGGCAATCTACTTCGAGAGAAACGGATTTCATGTAACGCAGATCTGCCGCCATTACGTTGAATCTCGGTTATGCTGCAATATTTAACCGTTGAAATGACGGTTAACCTCTTACAACTACAAATTATAAATGAACAAAAAGATATTATTTAAAATTTAATACATGTATATCAATAGTGAAAGATATCAACGCTATTTTCTGTAAAGTTCTTTTTTTATATCTTTAATATCAAACTCAAATAGAATACATTGTCATATAAAGGTATTTGGTATATCACTAGATGTAATTTTCACAATTTCTCTGAAAAGTAGTCATGTCTAATAGGAGAAAAAAGTATACATCCCGGGGCTTACCTGGCTGAGCGGTCAAGGTCGTTGGCTTCAAATCCATTGATCCATTCACCTTTTGGTTCGAATCCCGGCATGGACTTGTTTTTTTTTAATATGAGGAATCCATCAAGCTTACTAATAGATTGTCAGTGGCTTTACTCATGTGCCCATTCGTGTCTGAAATAATGCACAGATGGGGCACCTGAAGTGTTTCTAAAAAGTTGGAATATGATTTACAGTGTTGGTGCGACGTAAAATTCAACAGAGAAAGTTTTTTTTATTTTGACTTGGTTTTACGTCACATCGACACAGTATAGATCATTTCGCGACGTTCCAGCTTTACTGGTGGAGGAAAACCTCAGGTGCCCTTCCGTTATTTATTTCAGGCACGAACGGGCACCCGAGTAAAACCACCGACGTTCTGTAAGCTAGCTGAATAGCTTCCTCACATAAAAGAATCCAAAGTCCCTGTCGGGATTCGAGCCCACGACCGTAACCACTCTGCCACGGACGCCCCTTACGAGAAAGGTATATGTCCTACATGTAAAACGGCAGATTAAGAAATATAATTGAATTTGATAACATACACAGTAAATAACATGGAAGTAAACAATTTAAACAAAAAAGTTTCATTCAATTTTATCAACGTGTGTCATGATTCCACGTGACTTATCACGTTTTAAAATATCACTACTTTCTCTTTTTTATGAGTCTAAAATAGTATTAAATTTTACAGTTACCCTCAAAGAAGCAACAATTGTGATGTGTAAATCATAAGAAAAACAAGTTATTTCTTAATCAAATCACTGTCTTTGTCGTATATGAACTTATGTTCTTGCGAAAAACATACTCCTTATTTGGTAATGTCGAGAGCACAGCAGAAGAATTTTACATTATTCAATGCGGAGTCATCACCGCTACCTTGTGGCGCTTCAACTTTCGTTCTCATACCTAAATTAATGTATTTAAAATAATGTTGTTAACTATTTACTACACAAGTTAAATAGTTTCCTGCAGGAAAAAGTTTAACATTTCAAAGATATTTTATTTAATTCTTTTCTAATTGTTTTCTTATAAAAAGAAACAAAGCAAACAAAACAACAACAAAAAAAAACAAAAAACGTTTGTATCGAGAATATAGTTGACAAAAATCGATAAAAGGAAAAAGGTCTTTGCAGACCTGACATTCTGAGACCGGAGACCTGAGAGAGTGTTAGAAGGTCACCCGTCTGTATCATTCATATGGCGTGTAATAACGATATGTATGTTTTTGGTAATTTTTGGATTTAAGTGAAATAAAACATTTTTTTAAAGAAAATTATCAAATACCATTGTATGAATAATTACATGCAAAAAAATAATGAAAAATAATAAAATAAAGTAAAAACACATAGGTTTAGGCAGGATATACAATCTGTATATCTATTTATTATGGGAGATGCCACTTTGAATGTTTTAATTCTATAAATTTTCATTTTCTATTTATTTTTTGTAATGGAACGTTGATAATTTTCAAAGACATCAATCAAGTTCTTCCGCTGCAAACGGTAAAATAATGATAGAAAAATAGAAATATCACGTAAAGTAAATATCGCCGTGCCTGGACGGTGATATATACAATTGACAAGATTTGAACAGTTCTACATGTACATCGTCTGCCTTTAGCCAATCAAAGTGAATAATTCAATATCACATGATAACAAAATGGACATAAAAATCTTCAATGAGGGATGCTTTAATTCTTTAATCGTTCATTTCACTTTATTCTATAATCTTAGCAGAAATCTGACAATTTAGATCTCTTTTATTTTAAGGTTTCATATCATACATTCGTATGACGTTGTAATATAGCTATTTTTGTTGTTGATGATGATCATCATACTGTTATTGTTGCGTTTTTTTTTGTCTTGAAGGACTATTTATCATACTGCACATTTTCAAACGAAAAGTTTTATAGATGATCAATTGTCTTCACGGACTCATCTCATACTGTTAAGTTATGTTGTGAGCAATGCCATGTTATTATTATCTTTTTTGTTACGACATAATATATCATATGTCACAATATCCAATGTAACTATATACAGTAAAGGCTTACACGAAAATTTACGTATACCATTAGTTCATTAAATCAATAATTTTTTTTATATAACCTCACTTAGCTTACTTTCGAATGGTCGTGTGTGTTTTTTTAAACTTATAAATTACGATTTAAATAATACAATGACAAAAAAGATCCAACTGTACAAACCACATATTGCCGATTCAGGAGGGCAACTTTCACTCTCAACCCAATATCTTCCCCAAGGCTCCCCTTTCCCTGGAAATATCTCTAGCTGAATCTCATTGGTGGTTTTCATTATATCTTGACATTTAAACGTGGCAAACGATGCAGCAATATGATCGTTATCATGCTGTAAGTAATGGAATAGATCAAAATGAATATATATGTATATAATAGATAATCTGTACATAATCTGCAAAATGCTGCAATAGTTATCACTTACAGTATCCTACAGTATTACATATGGATCTCAAAATTGAGCATCAGTAAAAATATATATGAAATTCCGCTGATCCATATGTGGCTATAACACCAAATATGAAGGCGAAAATACATGTAGGTCAATAACAGTGTAAGTTTTCAACTTTTTAAACATTTATATAAAATTCAAAGCCTTTTTTTTTAAAGAAATTCGGAATGTGATTCTACCGTCCCGACTTTTCTCTTTATTTACGCATATTGTTTTGGATTTTAAGGTTGTCTTTGTCGACATATTCTTTCCGTCGTGGGTTCTGGTGTGCCCAAAACAGGCAATGCGTAAACGGACAGAAAGTATAGTTTTCACAAAAACTTAGTACCGAACGATGTTATACATTAAACAAACCCTTATTAAAACAGTTATTGAGATTTTGTTCAAAATAAAGGAATATTCAGTAGGAATGGTCAATATTCCAGTCGGGCTTCATATCCGTATGTAATATACAAAACCATTTACAAACTATGGATCACTTTCATATAAATAATTGAATAGCCAATTTTAAAAACATTTAAGGTTTCGTAGCTTTGGCTAAAAGTGCATTAGTCAATGTGTTTGGTAATTAAATATCACTAAATCAATAGGCTAACTATCTGATGGTAGCAAATAAAAAAAAATCTTAAAATACAAAAGTATACAAAAAATTTCACACAGGGAGAATACTACTCCTATGATAAATAATTTCCCCCTGAGGAAACATTACTTGGACAAGCTAAACTCTAATATATTAAACAGCTGACAAGTAAAATTGACCAAATCTTTGTAAAGCTATCGTATCATACATCTTTTTACATAAATTATTTAAATTCATCTGATAAACATCACTTCAAGATCAACAAGTGTATCTAATACATTTTAACTCACAGGCACACGTTTTTTCGCAGTGAATTACAAGTGATCTTCTTCATAAAAACTGTCCTCAAAAGAAATATTCTTCTCTCGTGTCGAATAAACAACGCAAAATCAAATGACTATTTATAATGACAATGGTCAATGAAGAATCATGAACGGAAATGTATTTATAATTTTGATAGCAAATTGTCATTGTAACATAATAATATGTGTTTGAAATCAACACAATAACGTACCGTAACGTACTGATAAGACATATTCTTATTTGTAGTGGTTTATATTGCCATGGTAGAGTTTGCTGGACAGAAGTAATGTGTTATACTAGTTGATATTCTGTATATATTTTAAACATCGGAATCAGTGACAATAAAGAAACTCCCATACGTGTACTTTTTAAATAATCATGAAATTTCAAACATAGTTAAGCTACTATCAATGTCTTTAGTATGCTGAGTGTTTTTTAATTTTATTTATGGATGATGTTGTTCAAGCTCGACTTCGGACAATATGTCTATTTCGGATATTTGTTTGACATAATTTTTATGTAAACATATGTTTGTGGTATTTTTAGTTTCTTCTATTTGACTTTTTCAGCTTTGATGGTTCTTGTATTTCTACTTTAATTCTGTATAATCACCCTTAGGATATGGTGCCTGTTTTTTAAATTTGTTTTGACGTCTTACATGTATCTGTGATACGCAGGCACCATAACCACTGATCCCCTTTCAAAAAATCATTTTATTTAGTTCCTCCCATTGGGATATAGCGCACATCTAGTTCAGCGGAAATTCATATATATTTTATACCGATGCTAAATTTTCAGATCCATATGGGGTTTTATGAAGAAATTTACTTGTAATTCACTGCGAAAAAACTTGTGTCTGTGAGTGAAAGCCTGTTAGATACACTTGTGGATCTTGAAGTGGAAGTGATGTTTATCAATATGAATTTAAATAATTTAAATAATTTATGGAAAAAATATTTGATACGAAAGCTTTACAAAGATTGGGTCAATTTTACTTACCAGCTGTTTAATATATTAATATATCTTTTTTTATAGGAATGCAGTTTTTTTTTAAATTTCAATACCATTTGTAGACGAAATCGAGTTAGGAAAGTGGCAGTTTGTCCTGCTTTAGGACATAATCTTTCTTTTCTGTAGTAGCCCCATCTGCTCTCCCATGCCGTAATTGTTTTCCCAGTGAGTTTCCCGAACCTGTTGGCACATATCAATTTTATAGCATTAAGTGCAGTGTCATCTCCTCTGCCTTGATCTGGTTCGATCTGCAAAACCATTCACAACAAATAGCATGTCTACACTTATATCATATATGTTCTCGTAATTTCAAAAACAAAGTAACAAAATGAAGAGTTAGATATGTTGCACGGGAGCGGCAAACGATTTTTATTGGTCAAATTAATTGTAGAAATACATATTATTCAAAAACTATATGTCGAAAGTTACCCGCCAAACTGCATTAACTTATATGAAATTAAAAGGACTTACAGAGTTTACAATCAACAATCGATGTATCTCAGATACTCGTAGACAATTATAGTCTCAAAAAAAATCTTCCGAGCAATAAATGTTACATATAATTAAGACATTTTACATGAATATTTATGTGACTTACTTTTAGGTTATAACCTATGGCATATTGTCTGTCTGGACAGAAATCAATATGACCCCATTGACCTTGAGTCCCGCCTTTTACCGACAGAGTCTTCTTCACGTTCCACATCACTGTCAATGATTTGTTAGAAGAAAGTAATTACATCTTTAACAAAATATTCAAAGCTAAACAATGTGCATGGTTCTACACATGTTAAAGTATGTTTTCTCATATATAAGTGATAAGGTTTAATTGTCTGAAAATGGAGGATTAAAAGCTAGCTAACTGGTAAATATATATATATATATATATATATATATATATATATATATATATATATATATATATATATATATATATATTCACACATATCTTCACTTACGGGGCCTATTTATAAGACCGAGTTGAGTGGCATTATTTCATGCAGTCAGTTTTTATATATGCCACTATGTAGGCATATAATGACATTTCCACACAACAGAACTAAGGGGTACTAAGTTATATATATCAACTATATATTTAATTTTACCATAGGTGGAAACATATTGACCAATAACATAAAACCCCATTAAAAATATATACATTTGTGGGACATATATCATTTACTACTAAAACCGGCCTACGGGCACTATGTTAGAAGGGTAGCCTACGCCCCCATACGTCGTTTTAAACATGCCAGAGTTGCGAGGCCTTATGTATGCCCCACATTAAATATAAACCCCACAAGTATGGTCTCAAATAGACCGATGCCCCGTAAATGGAGGAATGTGACTGTATATATATATCATATTTTGTTACTATTGAAATGTATTTCCAAACCGAATGTACAAATCAGTGATAACATGGAGCTTCGTGCGACAATGGAAATGACGGGTTCGAAGAGACGAACGGCAGATAGTTTTGATGAAAAAAAAAACAAAGATAGTAACTGGAATTATCGGTAAAATAAAATTTATAAAGTAATACAATATCCTATAAAATGCCGGGATGAAAACCCTTATGGATAAAGCTGATTAGGTATCTTTGTTTTATTGGGTTTTACGTCACATCAATACGGGCGACGTTCCGGCCTTAGTGGTAGAGGACGACCTCAGGTGCCCTTTCATGCATTACTTCAGGTACAATAGGGTTCCTGAGTCGAACCATCGACGTTCCTTATGCTAGCAGTATAGTTTCCTGACATGAAAGAATTCAAAGTCCCTGTTGGGATTCATACCCGCAACGGTGAGGGGCAAGTTGTTTGAAGTCAACGGCCACTCGATCACGGACGCCCTTAGTGATTTGGTAAAGGGTAAAATAAATAGAGTCAAAATAATATTGGAATGAGAAGATTTACAACTGAGTGCAAACTTTATCAGTCATTACGCCTACTGTTTGCCGAATACAGAGCACATTAAAATAATTGTGATAAAGTATACACAGATAATAAGATAATCATTTACCTGTTTTATTATATACATCAGGAAATGAAAGCTCCGCATTGTTTTCTTCTCTGTATCGTCTGTAATCCTCCTTATACTTAATGATGTTAAACCGGATAGTTTCGTAATCAATTCCAAGTGAAGCAACATATTCTGGTACAAACAGATCCTCAATATCTTTTAAGATAATTTTAGAAGGAACAGGGTTATTTCTCACCTCAGATGCCCAAGTAACTGCGTCTCCATTTGAAGGCGGGGCTGCTCCAACAGTTTGGGTGTGGGTTTGTACTGTCTCCGAGAACTCTTGTGCCGCTTTTCGCTGGCTTGTTTCTAAACTTAACCCAGCACCAATACTTACCTTACCAGTAAAAGATGCACGGACACTAGCACTATACTGAGTCTCCATAAAAGAATGGTAGTCGTTTAAAGACATTTCATACTCATTTGAAAATCTAGCACCAAACGTGACCTCTGATAAAAAGTGTGTACCGAACCTGTCCATAAACTCAATGTATGTAGTATTGGAATCAGATGTATCAAGTTTGCTCAGCCAAATAAGGAAATCATCGTCAAATGATGGTGGCATTTGTTTGCGCAGCTTAACAAAGTAATAGTCACAAGTAGCCGAAGATATTATGTAAACGGATTTCTTTCTCTCCATTGTAGAGGTCATTTTTCTATATCCGAAACTTGAAGTAAACGCAAAAGCCTTATAACCTACACTAACTTCTGTCATTGTCGATAAAACATCTTGTAATCCTTTCTTAGTTTCCAGCACCGTTGAGGAAAACGAGGTTACACATGAGACACTAGCAACGGCGATATATCCATTAGGCATAGCAAATCTACAGTCTGCCGTTTGCTGCATATATGAGTAGTCAGATTTGAAAATAGGATAAGTAAACCCAGGGTCACGTGAATCTGCCAGCGGAAAGCCCCGATAAATATCATATCCAAAGAAGGCATAATCAATGTTAGGGAACGACACTTTTGCCTTTATACCAGTGCAACCTCTTGTCTTATGATCAACCATTATTCCTGAAAAAACGAAGTCAAAGGTAATGAGCCACGTCACGCCAAAACCAACATTATGCGTTTGCGATCAGCATGGATCCAGACCAGCCTGCTCATCCGCGCAGTCTGATGAAGATCCATATTGTTCGCTATCAGTTTTTCTACTTGTAATAGGGTTTATAAGCGAACAGCTTGGATCCAGATCAGACTGCACGGATACGCAGGCTGGTCTAGATCCATGCTGGTCGCAAACACACTATGTTGGTTTTGTCATGACGTGGCTCATAAATATTTGAAATATTTTATGGATCATAAACGCGCGTACATTATTATAGTAAAAGGTGAAAACAAATCATTTGTCGCATAGTTGAACAATTAGTTGCTTCTTTTGCTATGTTGGCAATTGGTGTAATTATAGTGAATTAGTATTTTGTATAGAAGTCATAGTACAATGGTCTATTTGGTTAACATTTTGCTACCATAATGACACCTTAACTCCGTTTCAGTGCTACTGTCTTCAGTTGTTAGACAGCTGATATGCTTTTAATCCATTATCATAGCATTACTAAACGCATGCTTAATATTTCAAGAGAATTAAAAAATATGGAGGCAAAATGTGCCTTAATTTTTCTCTCCAAAAATAACTCTGCATAATAAACTATCTTAGACAGAACTTATTCCTTTGACTACGAATATTCTTTATTTTCTTAAATGTCAATGTGTTAATACAAACACGTTCAAAAATAAGTGTGAGGCGAATGACCAGAGAGCTTTATGGTGAACTTATACACCGACACCAGAGTGTAAAATAAAACGATCATCAACATTATATTTGAAAGATTGATGCGATTTTATTACTAAAATGTTTAAGTCATGATATTGTAATTGATAACAACGTCTTATAGATTTTTACATGTAAAATTTCGAAATGTTGCTTAATGTGACTTTATGGGCCTAATATTCAATCATTTATTTGTTTTCTTTTGGTTCCTAATCGGTTGCTGGTTGTTTATTCTTATGTAGTGGTTTGCCTGCCGTGCTCTGCCTTGTGCCCTGTCCTGTTTTTGTTTAGGGTCTTCCTGGGCTCCTTGCTACCGACGCTTGTTATTGGGTCGGATTTAGGCTGCGTTCATTGAGCGCCGCCTTTCCTTGTCGATCTTGTTTATCATATTTTAAAGAATTCTTTCACTATCAACTAAGTTAAAACCATGTGAAATGGATAGCGTACGACATGCAAAATGCAATGAACTAGACCAATTGATATGCGAAGGTAGGTCGTCGCACTGCAGCCGGTCTGTGCAGCACAATTATTAACTTCAGATTAAAAACATTATTATCTCATGTCGGCCTCATGATCCTAAAACATGAACAAGCCGCTTTATCATTGAATGTAATTTGTAATTTCCTGCGCGCCTTTTATGAATAAATTACATTCTTGGGATGACGTCATTTTGCTGTTATGAATGAAGTTGTAAATTCATACACTACTATATGACAAAGTGCGACATGTAAAAATAAGTTTTCGTTATCTCTTTCCGAAATATTTAATATGCAAGAAAAATAGTCAGACACCGTCTGTCGTCACAGAGCTCTCAGGTAACTGTTTAGCGGAAACTCGTAAACAATTATCCTCGAGCTAAATATTCCGGTCTGTACAGGAAGCCGCTGTAAGATACTTATATTGTTAAACGAGTTTATATAAGGGCGGCCATTTGATGTTTATTTACTGTAGCTTATTCTGTGACAAATTTTGAAATCATCGGTTAATTTAGTACATCAATATCAAAATCACAAATATGGATGATTTGTTATATGAATATCGGATGCAAAAATGTACAGTGCGTAGCATTACAAGTAGATTTCAACATTAAAATGGGTCTTACCTTTATTGAAGAAAAACATTTGCATATCTGACATATTCTGCATTTTGGTTTCCCCTTCATCTTGATCGGTTAGAGAAGCAGCAATTGGATCACCATTTGCAGAATTACTTTGCGAATCTGGAGCACTTCAAAAATAAATAAATAAATCAACAAATTGATACAATCTTAATGATAAATCATAAGTTTAGAATTGTTTATTTTGATAAATAATCGATGCAATGGTTAATTTATGTAAGTTACATTACTATTTCTTCCTTCATTTACGCATCTATACATGCATTTACTAAATTAGAGTTAAAATGCCTCGCTTATATATATCTTCCTTTAAATACCCGATGAGGGTGTATGAAGGTTTTCTAGTTTCTTTATTAAAGCATTCACCTCCTAAAAAGATGTCGTGATTGCTTTGTTATCTTGTTTTCTCCTACATGTACTTAAGGGCTTTATCAAACTTGAAAGTTATCTCACCCGGAAATAGTAATTTTAGTTACATGACATTCCTAATGACGAACACTTATGATAATTGTAATTTAATAACTTTAACATATACCAATCTTATCAATATTTTGAATTAATTTTGTGAAGTGACAAACATTGTGGGATGGATTTACCTAGATTTAAATGTACGTGTGTTATTTCGCAATGCATCTGGGAAATGTTAAAAAATTGTAAGATAACTTAAATATCTTTAATATATATGTGATTGTTTGGCTCACAGTAAAATCGGATAAATGATTAAATCAGGCAAATTGAATACTAAAAACATGCTCATGAAAATACATTATCACATACTCTTCACATACTCTGGTCATTATTTATCAATTTTTTACAACAATTATCTCAATGAATTTCAAGTCCCTCGTTGTCGAAGAGTTCTTTAAAAAAATTATCTTTTCCATATCTTTTAATGACAATCCTGGCAACAAAGCTATTTAGGCATCTTTTGCTTTGTTTGTTAAATTCTCTTTCACAAAACTTTTTAACGTCAACTTACTCAGAATTATCTATGAACTTCTACACTTCTATGTAGGGCGATGGTCTTTTACCCTATGCAGATTGTACATGCGCGAGAAAATGTTAAATTCGTCCGATTTTTCATAGAAACGTCCGCGTCGTCATTGGTATTCAACCATGTAGCTTGTAGATTTTATTTGAAATCAACTAGATCTGTCATTCTCTTGATTTACGTACCTTAATAACTCAACCTTGTTTGTAACATAGCACAGAAGACCCAGCTGGACGAGCAGAAATAAGATGAAAACAATCAAAACTAGCTTGCATCTCCCGTTTTCAACATTGAAACAACCTTTTTTCGGCAGGAGTCTGTCTGCTTTCGGTTGGACTCTCTGTAAAATTTACAGGGAAGAACTGAATATATGTAAAATTGCATTGGTCACTCGGCCGAACAAACAGAAATCTCGGAATCTGATTGGCCATAGTAAAATAACATAAAGGATTTTTCCGACATCGTATACAGGTTCAATTGTTAATTAATCTAAATGAGCTCTGGAAACGAACTTTCTACATTTATGTGTTTTTTACTACCCAGTAAAGTTTTAGATATTTAAGTATAGTATAACTACATATTATAAGTTCTATTTAACCAGGCATCCTCTTACAGGTTGAATCATTCAACAGATTTTGTCAAAAATAAATGAAACAACCAATTACAATAACGTTCACGATTCCGTTAACTCATGCGCTTGAAAATAGCAAAAAGCACACAGTCAAGAAAACGAATTATCCGGTATTATCAGTTACTTAAGTAAAATTAATTTTTAATGTTCTTGTACATTAATGAAGTATTAATATTACCGATAACGACTGAATGGTTTTTAAATTATAAATACTTGTCCAAAATTGTTGTTTTTTACATTAGACAGCCTACTTTTTCGGATTTCAAGTATTTTAGGATTTTAGGTATCTTTTTTTCGGCGCAAATCCGTGATTCGGGCATTTCGTTTGAACAAGACGTTTTCATTTATAAACTTTCTATAAAAAAATAGATTACATTGAATTTCAATTATTTAAACATTTTTCTTAAAGCTTAAACGACATTCACAAAATCATAGTACTTCATAATGACATAAGAATAGTCTAAAGGCTTGAAGCTACAAATGTTCGCAGATTCACAGATCGAATCTACGTGCTAACTCCTTTATGTTTATCAAGTCTATGAGAAGAACAACTGCATACTTGTGTAATGTGTTGGGAAATTCATTAGTAACAGTTATATGTCTTGGTCATTTTACATCTTTTTTTACACTGTCAGCAGATGATTGCCGTTGCCCAGAATTTAACATGTTATTAACTAATAGAAACTACACTGATCCTGTCAATAAATGCTTAAAAAGTGATGCTATGAGAAAAGACCACATTCTAGCCTCGATTCATTTTAAAAGAACATGAAAGCGTCCTTAAAGTATATTCTGAAAGGTGAAAACCCTCCTTTCGGCATAATTTCAGACTACTTTGCAAGATTTGAATACCAAAATAGAGGAAGCCCTCATTTACTCATTTTTTGTAGATTGAAAATGCATCGACTCTTAAAAAACAGTTCTAAAGCAAGTAATACACATTTTTGTAATCAGAAATAAGTACAAAATTACCAAGTGAACAGTCAGATGAAATTTTGTACTATTCAGTTAAAAGGCTTCAGATACATCATCATACGAAGTCATGTTTAAGAAACAATATTTGTCGATTTTGAATTCCTAAATCAGTTTGCCAGAAACATAACTTACTTACCAATATTGATCTAGGCAATCATTTAAGAAAATTGTACTTACCATTTAGAACAGAATTCGGTTTCAATTCAGCAGAAGAAGCCTTTCTAAATTAAAAGATTCCTTAAATTCTGAGGATCTTATTATTCAAGAAAGTTTTCTACATGACCTTGAACATATTGTGCAGATGGTATGTGCAGCAAGTAAAGACCTTGGTACTTGTAGCCCTTTAAACTAATGAATCATACAATGAATCAGTAGCTGTTATTTCTGAAGAATATTCATCATTTTCATCAGCCAACATCTTACAAGAAGAGAATGATAATATTTCAAATGTTATAGACTCCAAATAATCCGACGACAAAATGATACAAGGTTTACTGATGTATTAAGGGTTTTCCCAACTTTAAAAGACGTACGAGAATTCAATACTTACCAACCAACAAACATAATTATATTTTACCACTGGGGAGTTTAAACCAGTTTTAGGCACGCCAAACCTCACTTTTAGCCCGAATATGTTCCTATTTGACAAGGCAATTTAAATAAAATTAATCACCGCCAAGTGAAAGTCTTACAATGGTCATGGTTACATTAGACCAAATACAAATAAATAAATAAAACACATAAATGATCGTATAAGACACTTTTTAACATTAGTGGATTATTTTTATGATTTGTGAACAAACATAAATTTGGTAAGACATTTAGATGTAATTTTGCGACATGAAACGGTAGAAGATTTTGCGGCATTTAGCGACAACTGCGACATTTAGCCACAATGGTGCGATATTTAGCGGCAAGCGGCAAAAAGTCTACAATGTTGCGTATGACAGAAACCTAAAGTACAGTTAATACTCTTATGAGTTCTACATCTGTCGAGGGACCTTTTCATCTATCCATATCTTGTTTTTATGGAAGGCAATTGAATACATACGACTTTTTTTCAATCATCACTGGTAAGCAGAAGAGCTTTATAAACCGCTGTATTATAGTCAACTTAAGTAAAATGTTGTCTCATTATATATTCATGTAAGCTCGAATATCGAAAATTGAAGAATGCTTTAACATTTAGATTAAAATGAAGGTTCCCAGAAAATGTAAATTTGGTAAATTTATGCTTGAACTGTAGTTGTGTCTACAGTTATATTAGCGAATTAAACTTTTAAATAAATTAAACAGCAATACAGATAAAAAACAAATACGATTCAAGTAAATGTTACACCTAAAATGCAATTAAAAGTTTAAATCAGAACCACAATTAAGTTAGAAAGGAAATTAATGATATTTATTCTGAAAGATATTTATGTCGTGGAGAAGGTAGCTCACTAAATTTTTGGGCTATAGATTTAATTACAGAATATTTCTATGTGATGGTTCAAACTAGCGGGCATACTTGATTATTTATAATAATGTACACATGTTGTGTTTTTGTTTGGTATTTTTTGTGTATTTTTGAAATATGAAATTTCAGTCTATATTTTAAAGTTTTAGACTCATTACTTTTGTACATCTTATTACATATTTTGAAGTTGTTGTAACATAAAAATTAAACCATTTCGTCTATGATGCGGATACCACTGAAAAAGGAAAAATGCCTCAGTCAAACGGTTACTTTGTTTCCTTATGCGTTTCTATCAATATCCAATAGATCTTTGGCACCCGAAAGCTGTCTTTAAATGTTTTGCCTAAACCATTTTGGAGTATAATGAAACAGAAATAGTCCGGCAGAGATACTGTGGGTGCTTTGGATTTTATCACATGAATGAACCAATTTTCTCATGTGTTAGCATAAAATATATAGCTATACTTCTTACTTACTTACCATAGCAATAAGGGAATGCTTTGGTGGAATAAATAGGGTATTAGTATACATATACAAAGTAATCTGGTTTACAGAAGAGGTTACATAATTATCAATGATCATTAAAACTTAATTAATATTAACTAACATTCAATACTGAAAGAAGTATTAATCATTTAAATATAAATTGAAAAAGCTATTCATCCAGCTACATAAGGTTTCTGTTTATACCTCCAGCGCATAAAATAGAAAAATAAAAATCCCTAATTGTGATTATCGAGGGGAATAAACCAACAAGAAAAAAAACGAAAATAATCGTGAGATAAACTAATTAAAGATTGAGCACGTTGTATGAACTGTGTTTTACTTGTGCGACTTAAATTCGCATATTTTATAAAGTAAGCAACATAACAAATAGTTTTTATTCGAATGTGATGATAAAAGAACTCAAATTCTTGATATTCGGACAATAACAGAAGTAATGTTGAAAATATTTTTCTCTCTCTTAAATCACGATAAAAAGGACAAACTAGTTAAAAAAGATTTCCTATTCGAATTGATACATGATATAACATAACCTAATGAATTTATCTTCCC